CTGTGCGTAGTGCAAACTACCCTGGAGAGACGTACCTGCCTGTGATTTATGGCATCCCTAACCGAATTGAACATCGTGATCGATACAAACACAGTCGTCATACAACAGTAAATTAAGGAAAGCATAAAGTACTTGTGATTATTGTACCCAACACAGTTATATATCCACGGACAATGATGGTCCATTTTCAAAATGCACTTTTTGCAAACTCGACAATGATGTGTCCTATCAGGTTTGAATTTGCAACACCATTTGCAGTACCGCCTTTCTCCCGTTTTTTTTTTCTCCAATAAGTAATTATCCATATGGTCTGCGTAATTCTCCTGGTGATCTTTAATTTCCCATTCATCGGTGTCTGGAACGGATCCAGGGGGGACTATTATGGACAGCACGTAATTCACGAGGTACATTATCAGGCTGACGTGGAAAATTACTACTTCGGTGATTCCTCTGCGGAGGGAAGCGGTGCGATGGAGGGGTGAAACGGAGTGACGATATAAGACACGGACATTTACACAAAGTCATAAGCACCAATGGGGCAAATATTAAATCTGCCCTTCTCGCTCCACATGTTCATAAAAGCGCGCCACCACCACCGCAAGATTACCTCTTAAAGTCGTAATTGACGTACACCTTTCTGTGGCTTCTCAATATAAGTGGCAGGCAGTGGTACTACAGGGGAAAATGAAAAAGATAATCATTTTTTTTTTTTTTCATTGTCCACGTAGAACCCTTCCAAAGGCTCATTCCTGAGTAGAAAGACGCTCCAGGGGCATCCGCCAAATGTAGTTGCCCCCGTCTATGTAGGACACTCCCTCACAACACTTACCATTACATATATGAGGTATATGACGAATAAAAGAAGGAAAATAAAAAACACAGGCAACAGACGGACAAATTTGCTCCGGTTATTTTGTATAGTGAAAATTTCCTCGGCGTTGTTGTGCTTCCCCGTGTGTTCAGGGGAGTACTCGCCACTGTAGTCGTCACTGTACCCTGCCGTGGTATCGTCATTTGTTGCTTTGCTTGCTTTAGCCGCCGTTGACGTTTCCTGTACTATTTCTTCCTTCGCCTTTTTTGTCAAATTTATAATGCTCTTATCCGTGGAGTACTTTCTGCTACTCGCGCTTCTCTTTTTCTTCTGTTTATTTTTCTGCACAAGGGAGGGAAAGAATAGGAAATACACGTTGCCAATATTTTTAAATTAATAAGCCTTTACTCCCAGTGGCCCAATTGGAGTGAAATAAATTTTTATAAGTTCGCAAACGATGCAAGATGCGGGAAAATGTAGACTGAGTTGGATTGCCGTGGCAGAAGGGAATTCAAGACGCAGCAACAGGGCATGCAACGGACGACGTAGTGGACGACGAAGTGGATGACGAAGTAGACGACTCGGTGGAGAGAAACACACTGGGTGCACAGAATCGAGCACATGCTCACTACACGCCACGTTGAAACATTCTTTTCAATTTTCACGTTCCATCCTACGCACCTTTTTCTTCTTCTTAGTGCCACCACTGGAGTCGGTTTTATCTGACACCACAATTATTTTACTATCATGATCTAAAGTATCTTCAGTAGTTTTCTCTTCATTTGCATTTAACATTTTAAGTGTTATACTACTTGGTAAAGGAATAAAAGGGGAGGCATAAGGAGAAGGTATATATATCCTCTATATTCAGTGTAACATAATGATTTTTTTTTTTTTTTTTTTTATTCTTCTTATGGGGTCTTCCTGTTTGGTGTTCCTCTTCGCTAAGCTGTGTTGCGTGTGCGTCCTGGCACCACTTTCACGCTTGGCCTTATATAGCTCTGTTAGTTCATAACAAGGCATTCATATATAATTGTATATTTGCAGACATTCGTTCACGTATATGGGTGCACACACTAAGTTGGGGGCATAAATGACGCCTACCTGTTACCTCTGTACACTTGTTCCTCTTTTGTAATGTGTCACTGGTATGAGAGAATCGGGCAATTCGACCTTTTTCAATTAAAAGGAAAAAAATCCAAAGGCCGAATCGCAATAGAGAGTTGCTAAACGAGGGGCATGACTGTCTAACGTGTGCGTTGGCGGACAAACAAGCGTGTCCAGTACAAACGCGTCAAATACGAACATGTGAAAGACAAACGTGGGATAAAGAAACGCATGAAAAAGAAACGCGTGAAACAGAAACGCGTGAAACAGAAACGCGTGAAAGACAATCGCGTTTACTTGCAAACAAACAAATAAAAAGTGAAAACAAATCTTCTTTATGAACAGATAAGAAAGTGTATACATGCGCATGTGTGTACTGCGCTCCCCACCCAATGCACTATAACACCTTCACGCGCAAGTAATTTTGCATAACTATATGATATTATATCAAAAACTACATACGGGAAAATGCAATAGTAAACAAAAAAGTGGGGAAAAAAAAAAAAAAAAAATCATTCACATGTATGATAAAAATAAATTACGTCCAAAAAAAAACACATACGAACAAACACAATTTTTTTTTCTTTTTTTTTTTTTTTTTTAAAGCTATAAATAGTTAAATCAAAAAAGGAGGGGGAATAGAACGGAAAATAACACTAAAGACGGAAATTTCTTTCCCTTTGCGTGCCCACTTGTTTCCTATTTTCTCAAAATGTCACATTTGCATTTATTGGTATGGTAAGACGCGTAAAAATGTGTCATTCAGGGGGAGAACGTTGCAAAAAATTACGCAAAGGGGGGCTGTTAAGCAGGCGTGTCTGCGATGTGCTAACTGCTGAAGAGTGACTCCGAAAACCCTATTAGCCAAATGTAATTCTCCATACGTGGGTAACAAATCCTGCAACACAACGCGCGCCCTGACTTTACTAAAAAAAAAAAATGTAAGACGCGAACGGTACACACAAATGCACTGATGACAAACGAGTCAGTAATTCTTACACAGCATAGAGGTATCCACTTGAGTGTCTTTACATGTGGTCATTCGCGCAGTCCTCAAGAAGGTGTAGTCATAACTGTGCTCAGGACACGGCAAAAAATAAATGAAAAAATTAAATGAATGCAGCTTACGGCTCAAATCTTCCAACTTTACTTTTCCTACAAAAAACAGGGCACGCTGACAATTGAAGAATAAAATGCCCAAAACTTCAACAAAGCAGACGTGTATGTACAGGTGGATTTAAGCTCAAAGGCGTGTGCGTACAATCGCTTATTTACGCAGTCGCCTATGCAAATGTACCTTTACGCGTATAGATAGGACAGTGTAACAACCGTAAGTGAACATCACAGTTGGGAGGGGGGAAAAAAAAAAATGCAACAAAATAAAGTCTTTTATATGCTCAACAAAGGTTACGTGTCGTGTCCACGTATTTGTGGCGTAAGGTCTAAATGTTAATCAAAGAAACGCCGTTTCTCATTGAAGGGACGAAAAAATGAAAAAGTAGGAAACGCATTCGCATAAATGAATGTTTTAAAGGTAATGAGTTTCGCTTTGCCCTGTTTCGCATCTCCTCGATTGCCAATTGTCCATATACAGCCTTTATTATATTTGTGCGGAAAAAGTTCACGCTGCGCAAAATTTCAATTCAGTCTACCTCAAGTTTTTGGCTCGTTGGGCACGTACGTAAACGCATGCCCCTGCAATTACGCAAGTAAACCATTGCAGGTTATTCCCCCTATTTACGATTTCAGTTTGTAACAGAATTTTCCCACATAAGTGAAGGCGATTTTTGCATTTCCTGTTCCTTAACTTTGACTTTAATTTTAATGTAGTTATTGTTGCTCTTTATTTTGTAGAAGAGGCACAAAAAAAAAGGGAACAAAAAGACAAAAATAATGACAACAAAAAAAAAGACGAAAAAAGGGGGAATTAATTTTGTAAAACCATGCACATGTGGGCATGTAAAAAATAACGATCCTTAACAATTTTTTAATCGTCATTTCTTCCTTTAATATCTTCATTTTGTGCAATTTTCCTACACTGCCATAAGTTTTTTTTTTTTTTTTTTTTTTTGGTTTCCTCCGATGTGAAACAATTCGTATGAATCGCCTTGGTTCTGCTTTCATTTCTTCGCTTTACTCTATTTGACTTCTTCAATTCTTCCTTTTTCCCAGTTCTACACGCGAATGGCCAATTCATTCTTCCTCGAAAAGGAACAACGTGCAATGGAATGCCATGCAGAAAAGTTGCAAAGTTCATCACACGCGTGACATTTCTTCGCGTTTTTTGCTTTTCACATGGTGGCGGAAAGTAAAATACATCGCGGAAATCGTTGTGACAAATGTGAAAAAGACAATGAATAATTCTCTCGCATTTTTAAAGGTTGATCTCTCAATTAAACACGTAAAATTGTGCATACGAATTTGACAAAAAAGACTCCATGTTCCCACGTTTCCCAACTGCGCCCACAATTCGTGCGTAGCAACATCTTCACATTGCTACTTTTTTTTTTTTTTGAACAGGTTATGGGTAAATGGAGGCATTACGTACGTAAAAACGGGTACGCAAATAACTTCTTCATATTTACCAGCGTCTACACGCATGTAGTGATGGTACATTATGAATAGGACAAATTGGGATGGACCAATTTGGAGAACCTCCAAATTGTGTGCGCAGAATGACACACAGGTGGAGTGGAACCGAAACGATCACATAAGCAAAACAAACATATAATTTTATGGAGTTTTTTTTGTTTAATGAAAAAATGGAAACATTTCATTAAAGACATGTGTCACAAAGCCTGTCCCCGCATTATCCTATCCATATGCACTTTTCCATTTGTCCCCATTTGTAATCAAATTTCTTATAAAACGCTTCTCGCCCTGGTTGGTAACTATCTTTTTGGAAGGCAAACAATTAAATCGTGGTTATCATCCAAACGTTTTTAAAACTCATATTGGTAAGTCTTCCGATTTCTTCTAAGAAAACTGGTTCCCCTTTTGCGCCTCCCGTTCACTACGCACTGCTGAGCCAGATCTACACGTACTGAGTAAAAATGCAAACCAACGCAGGACATCAAAAACGATGAAAAAGGAAAATGACGATGACGATTCCTTGACCTTTTCCTCGGAAAGGGATATTTCCAATTTGTATCGAAAGGACCATTATATGAAGCACTGTCATGTTAAGAACCACATTGAGCCAATAGCATTGGAAGACGAAATTCATATTTTGAAAAGGGAGGAACAACAAACGTTTAAATTAAGCGACATTTTAGAATCACTGGAAAGAATAAAAGAAGAAAAAAATGAACCATCAAATGAAGATATCATTTTACCAGAATATGTAGAGCATGAACAAATTGAACCTGAAAAAGAAAGCGAAGAAAGGATACATTGTGGAGTATACTTACACGAAGTAAACATAATAGATAATTCATATTTGCATTCATCCTATGACAATATAATTGATGAATATTTTAATCCTATACGCATAAAGGGTGATATGTACGTAAATAACATTGTCCATTTTGAAGACTCTTCAACCTATCGTTCCATATTTGAGGTACGCAGAGTAGAGTGGTTCTTAGGGTTAGAAATCAATGAGAGAAGAATACATGAAATTGTCCCATACACACAAGGAATGTCTTTTCGAATCCCATTTGACGCATTAGGAAAATATATATTTTGTAAAGCATACAGAAATGTGCACATAAATTCGGAGTATCAAAAAGGGGGAAGAAATACCGTCTTCGATCCTCATACCTTACATAAGAAGCCTGTGAAATTTAAAATAGAACCAAAATGTGTTGAAAAATGTTCTATTACTTCTAAAGGGCCTGTCCTAATATCCATAGATAGTGCCTTCCAAATATTGAAATATTTATGCAACAATCATTACTCCATCCACGTGGTTGTTGAAGACCCGTTGGATAATTTTTGCAACTTGTCCACCTCATCTTTTTCTGATGACGGGAAAGTTACGACTACATCCAACGCGACGAACTTAACGGATGAGAACCACCGCTTTGTTTCTACCCTCTCCATCAACTGTGACGAGATCAAATTTTGCCTAACAAATTGGGAAACCGCAGAGGAGGGTCAACCTCCAATAGGTGCAACGTATCATACTCAGGGTGCCAAAACAAACAATGACATGCGAAGAAACGCTGCTTTTAATTTCTTTCGCTTGTTCGAATTGCAAAATGATGGTGCGCACAGCTCATCTGATTCAAGAGTGGAAAAAAAGAACAACCGCAGTGGGGATGAAGATAATGAAAAAATCGCAAAAGACGTAAAATCGCTCCAAATCGATGGGCAGAATGCACACAAAACAAGGCGTCTTAAAAGAGAAGGCAAAAAAACCGAACTGACACTTAACTTGTATGAAGTAGAATTCAGACTATCCAGTAAAGAAGACTGCGTTGTGGTTAGCATCGGAACAGATTTACACAGATCACTTAAATTTGTCAAATATAAAATGATTACTATCAAGCCGATTGGGAAGAACACCTCAGCCAATGAGCTGTGGCTAACACTAGTAGCTTTCAAATCTGCGTACTCTTATAAAAATGTTTTTAAAAAAAATGCAAAAGTAATTTATACAAATACGAACATTTCGTTCGTTCAAAATATAGTAAACAATTATTTGACAAAATGCATGGAAAGGAATGCAGACGGAGCTATGCCTCTCCAGAAGATAAGCACCATTTTTAACGAAGCGGGGTGAAAAATAAGACAGAGGAAGAGGTTATCGCCCCATATGCACGTTTTGCCAAAATACACACAGGGGGTTAGCAGTTTACGCATGTCCTGCTGCGGATAATGGGGAAAATGCGCACGGAACCCGCATATAGCCACTTTTCCAATCTCTAAACTTCTTTTCCGATTAAGCCTGCGCCAACGCCTTACATATTTACTTATCATCCAACTCGCACATGCAGTAACTTCCAATAATATGCCACGTTCGATTGTCACCTATATGAAATGTACCCACAAGTGATGATCCACTTGGGGAGAACAGACAAAAAAATAAAGATTCACCCAAATTCGAACCGCATTTTTGAACCCTTCCTCCTTTGTTCTTCTCAACCTTGACAAATGCCCACCCGAGTTGTTGTCAAAGGGGGATTCCCGATGTGTTGCCCAGAGACGTACAACGACAACAGGTAGGTGTTCTTTTCCTATGTTCTTGTCCGAACACTAAGCATACATAAATGTTCATTTATGTAGCAAATAGAATACACCCTTCCGCGGGGATGAAACAAAAACTGACTGCACATTGTTGCGCCTACTCAATTTGACATCTTCCTTTTTTTGTTTTGTTGTTTTTCGGGGGCGAGCCCACAAACATAAAATTCACGCAATCGAATATCTGCCTCTGTGAAAAAAAAAAAAAAAAAAAAAAAAAAACCTTGCGCGCATATATATACATTTTAAAACTTTTCTGGATCCCCCGTTGTATCAAAAAGGAAAACAAAATTAGGAACAGGTCTGCGCCTCTCCTATATATGACACTTCCCCAAAGGTACGCCAAATATTTATATATATATGTATGTATATATTTGATTCCATCCATTGCGCCTACTACCTTAAGCAGCTATGCGTCACCGACGAAGCAATTTTTTCGGCACTGTTAAAGAATTTTTGCCCCTGACGAGCACTTGGCAACATAGAGAACGGGACTTGTTGTGCCGTACTCTATGCAAAGTGACGTACATACATATGAGGCATACATTAATAATTTTATTATATACGAACAAGCTGCATATATTCGCACTCTTGCACAAATGTGCTTGCTCATTTGGTAACTGCTCCTATATGAAGAAATGTTAAAATTTTCGTAAAAACGGAACATTGCGCATGGTCCTCACCCCTACATCGATAACTTCTCACAAATAACAAAAAAAAAAAAAGGTCATTAAGATGAATATCATTGCGTAAAAAAAATTGTGCCCTTTTTTCTTACCCATCGAATGAACGCAACTTTGCTAGCATTTAGAGGCAGAACTTGTACATTTTAGAACAATTTGGCAGTATAAAATAAACAAAAATTCTGAACAACTTTTGCCAAGAGAAAGAAAAAAATAAAATAGAATAAAACGCAGGAAGGAAGAAAAAAGAGTACTTAAATATACATATATGCTACTGCGAAGCCTCGCGTGGAAGGGAAAATTTAACGAGCAATCCACCAGGAGCTAAATAAAAAGATACTGTACAAAGTAGAACGCAAAGTAGAATTCTACATAGAACTTATAATCGAAACCATTTGGAAAAGGAGACCAGTCACCCAACCGCCGCGCGATAGAGCAAAAGCGAAACATGGAAATCAATAAGAGCAGTAACCATGACCAAACTAATTTGATCAGCAAAGTATGCGCCTACCTGGATCCGCACATGACTCAGATAATTCTGAATTGGATGAAGGAGAACAAGGTATGTAATAACGTTTAAAGAGGGGTGCCATGGGTTGGGCTAATAACCCGCAGTGGTGTCGTACAGTCATGTGCATATACCCTGTGCATGATTTGTTGACTGTGATGTTGCTCCGTTGTGAGTGGCGTTCCACCATATACTCACTCCGTGCTGCTAATCTGACTCCACCACGCGTGCGTCTCACTTCTATTCCCTACTCGCATATCTAATCGACGCCGCCTCACTCCGGTTCCCTCCACTTCACACCTCTGCAGGCGCTGAACGAAGCCGAAATCGAGCAAAGCCTGGGTCTACTAAAGGAAGGGTGCGAAAAGGAAATCATCAACATCGAAAATGAATTCACCAACGGAAACAGGGGAGTAATTGTGAACTGCCTGGATAGCCTCGAAGTCGAAATAGAGGAATTCCAAGATGCCATGAATATGTACAAAAATGATCAAGTGAACAAAATTGGAGCAACTGTAGAAAAAAAAAGTATTATGTCATTAAGAGAATGGTGCGGATTAAACGTTCTCGAAAAAACAAAGACCTACAATTTTACAGACAATATAGATGACAAAATTTTAAAGCTAAGTAGGTACTATTACCAGAAAAAAGATTATCAAAAGAGCAAGCAACATTTACTGTTATACATTTTGAACATTTCAGAAATAATTATTAACATCTCCGATTCACCAAAAATGAGATTGTGCTACTGGGGTATCATCAGCAACATCATTAACAGCTTCTTTGCCAACCTACATAATGATGATTACATGTTAGTAAAAACAGAAGAAGGAAAACTAATCGTAAGGGAAGAAATTATAAATGAAATAAATGTGTGCATAGAAACAATAGTCAAATTAAGTCAAGTATTAAATAAAGATAAGGTAGGAAGAAGTGAAATTATTTTACAGAGAAGCTGGTTAATTCATTGGTCCCTCATCCTCATATTCCATTTCTTCATGTACTTAATATATGTAAAAGGTATATACCCAAAAAATAATTCCTTCTCTATGCTACAAGATTGGTTTATCGATGAAAAAAACTTGTCAATTCTTAATTTGATATGTCCACATATTATCAGATACTATTGTGTATATGCTATATTCTACCGTAATAGGAAAGACCATTTTGAGCTTATCCTCAACACCCTAAATTTGTTGAAGCCTAAATATACAGATCCGTTCACTTCCTTACTAATTTCTATATTTACTGAGTACGATTTTAATATGGCTCAAACATGCATTGCTCAGCTAGGCTCCATCTGTGAAAAAGATATTTTCCTATTTAAGTTAAAGCCCTTTATAGAAGAACAGAGCAGGTACATCATCTTCGAAACGTACTGCCGTATTCATAAATCAATCAACATTGACATGATTGCAAATAAGGTAAACCTTCCAAGGGATGATGCAGAAAAATGGATTGTTAATTTGATCAGAAATGCTAAACTAGATGCTAAAATTGATAGTGAAAAAAACTGCATCGAAATATCTACCACACTACCAAATTTATATCAACAAGTTATAGACAAAACGCAAAATTTAACCATGAGGTCTAATTTCCTTGTTCAAGTTTTAAATCGATCTTCAACAGATGAACACTTCCAGAAAAACATTCGATTTAAAAATAAAAATGACAAGGGAAAAAACTCCAAGAGGGGCGGCAAGCAGTACAACTCCTTATATAATCCCAACAAGGGAGGTATGAAACTCGTCTCTGCAAATATGTAGGTGTGGTAAAGCGGTACTTTCGCCTTTTGTAACACCTCTTCACCTTTGGTGATGACCTTCCAAGGAGGCTCTCCAAGATAGTCACTTATATACACATATTATGTGTATATACATGCACATTTTTTTTTTTTTTTTTTTTTCCCATCATTTCATGAACCTTCTCTGTTCTCCTCACCCCACATTATATTACCCAATTTGCTAACAAAAAATGGGCAACTTTTTTTCTCCCCGTTTTGAAATTTCGTATGAACCTGTTTGTCTCATGTGCGAGCGCCCATACAGCTCTACATTTGCAAAACCTATCTATACATTTTAAACCCACATTTAAAAAAAAAAAAAAAAAAACAATGAAACTTACAACATTATCGCATAACGTTAAGCTTAAACATCTTACCCTTTCACACGGGCATTTGTAAGTGCATCCACGAGCCCATTCGGGAAAGCCTCTTGAGCGGTATCACCAATTATGGCTGCTTAACTACGCTGCGCTACGCACAGAGAATACACTTAACGAGCCACGTGCTATTGTGGCGGTTTAAAAACGGATTGGCATCATATTAGTACATGCTTTTTTATGCAAAGGGGTTAGGAAAGGGAACCAGCAGTGGAACTATAATTGGGAAAATAGGCATGAGAACACGGGGGATGGATTCCGGCGAAGTGACCCTCGAGTTATTCCCCTTCAAAGCCCCGTCGCCAGTGTGTTAAACATGCGCCTGCGGAGATATAGCAAAAAAAAGTCAATCCAAAATGGTCGAACTTTTTATAAGCTGAAAAAAAAAACAATTCGAATAAGCAAATAGTATATGTGGTAAAATGTAGCAAAACTGTTCAATTTTATTTTATTTTTTTTCCTTTTAACCCTTTCGCAATGGGAAGTTAACTATGTGACCTATGCAACTTGTCCATACGGTAAACATATTTTCGGTGCTCCCTAATTATATTTCCTTACACCCGATGATTTTTTTTTTTTTTTTTTTCCCTTTTTTTGTGCCTTTTTCTAATGCGTATGCGCACGTAAATATTTGCAAGTGTTACTTATCCTACTTAAAAAAAAAAAAAAAAACAAGAAAAAAAAAAAACTTATCTCATTCTCAATGCAAAAGTTAAGTCGTTTTAACGAAAAATACGCGAAGGAGGATTAATCGAGGGGGCGAAAACTGCGTAGATAAAAAATAAAAGGCAAATTGTGGTAAGCTGGCCTAAAGATTGATGACGCATTTTATTTTACCATTCCACTTTATCCATTTTGCTGGACGTAATACTTCATGTCAGTGGGTACCTTTCGAGCGCAGAAATTTAACCCCTTTTCAGAGAAACACGAAGGGATAAAAATTGGGAGAGCGCGCCAAAAAGGGGGCAATCAACTGGCAGCCATCTTGCCGATTATTTTGAGCGGCCATTTAAAGCAGTCCTTTTGTGAGGCCATTCTAAGCGCCCATTTTGAGGACCATCTTGAAGGCTATCTTGCAGGGCATGACCAAAATGGCAACGTGAACGGACGCATTACGCTGATCGAACGAGAGATAGAAACCTCCGTTGGGGAAAACACCTGACGTATGCATGTGCTTGTACGCAGGTA